CCACCAACTCAATCCCCGCTGGTTTCTGCAGCCAGACACTGTTGGGACCTATATTCCTGGCACTGGAATTCTGGGCTGGAGGGCCTGGTGTGGGGCTGGGACTTCTTGTTCCTGAGATATCCCTCCTGAATTTTTATCCACCACACATGGATGAGGGACAAGCCCATTCTGCATCTGTGCCCCTTCTGCCAGTCTAGGTGGTATGGTTTCTTTAATTCCGTACTTGTCAGACTTCCATTCAACTCAATTTCTGACAGGTCTGAATGATGGCTGTTCTATATTTTACTCACAATTTTGATGTGGTTGGGGAAGGGGTGAGCCATGTCTGCCTACACCGCCATCTTGGGTGATAGTGGAGGCAGTGCCACTGAACCCTACAGGGCACCTACTACATTAGGCCACACAATGAAGACACAGAGTCATAGCAGCTCTACCTAATTCATTGAAACAAACACAGGGTGCCTGGCAAAATGAGGAGACAAAGAAACACAGCCCAAATGAAAAGACAGATCAAACTCCAGAAAAAGAACTAAACAAAATGGAGATAAGCAGTCTATCAGATGCAGAGTTCAAAACACTGGTTATAAAGATGCTCAAGGAACTTAGTGAGTATCTCAGCAGCATAAAAAAGATACAGTCAGAAATGAAGGATACATTAATTGAAATAAAGCACAATTTACAGGGAAACAACAGTAGAGTGGATGCATCTAAGAATCAAATCAATGATATGGAACATAAGGAAGCAAAAGACAACCAATCAGAACAAGAAAAAAAGAATCCAAAAAAATGAGGGTAGTATAAGCAGCCTATGGGACAACTTCAAGAGGTCCAACATTTGCATTATAGGGGTGCCAGAAGGAAAAGAGAAAGAGCAAGAAATTGGAAATCCATTTGAAAAAATAATGAAAGGAAACTTCCCTAATTTGGTGAAGGAAATAGACATGCAAGTCCAGGAAGCACAGAGAGCCCCAAACAAGATGGATGCAAAGGGATCCACTCCTAGACACGTCATAATTAAAATGCCAAAGGCTAAAGATAAAGAGAGAATCCTAAAAGCAGCAAGAGAGAAGTTATTTACCTACAGAAGAGTTCCCATAAGATTCAGCTGATTTTTTGAAAGAAACTGTAGTCTAGAAGGGACAGGCAAGAAATATTTAAAGTCATGAAAAGCAGGGTCCTACTGTCACGAATGCTCTACCCAGCAAAGATATCACTTAGAATCAGAGGGCAGATAAAGAGCTTCCCAGGCAAGAAAAAATTAAAGGAGTTCATCATCACCAAACCATTATTATATGAAATGTTAAAGGGGCTTAATTTAAGAAAGAGAAGATCAAAACTATGAACAATAAAATGGCAAAAAATACAAATCTATCAACAATTGAATCTGAAAAACAAACTAAGCAAACAAGAACAGACAGAATCATGAATATAGAGAACATTTTGATAGTTGCCAGATGGAGGGGGGAAATGGGTGAAGAGGTGAGGAGATTAAGAAGTACAAATAGGTAGTTACAGAATAGCCATGGGGATGTAAAGTACAGTATAGAAAATGGAATAGCCAAAGAACTTACATGCATGACCCATGGACATGAACAATAGTATGGAGATTGCCTGATGGAGTGGGATGTACTGGGTAGAGGGGGCACAAAGCGGGGGAAACCAGGACGACTATAAAAGCTAATCAATAAAATATAATTTAAAAAAAGAAGAAAAGGCTACATGCTTTAAAGTTACTACGTAGAAAGAAAAGTTCCTCTGTTCACACATTATGATGGTGAGGTTGTATTTGAACATGTGAACCTCATCTTAGACCATTCTCCTACAGGCAACACAAGGCATTTCTGAGTCCCAGGAAAATGAACTAAAAAACACAGCCTGTTCATTCAGCCTCAGCCGTGTCTTTAGTGGCTGCTGAAGAAGATTGAGTCCCCATAAGAAAACTGTGCCACCTTGTGAGTGGGAGAGGACCTGCAATTTCCTGAGTGACAGCCATCCCTCAGCTCCAGCCAGGAAAGGAAGCTATAACTCAGAGCCCCAGACTCCAGGGGGAACTACATAAAATGTATTTGGAAATGTGGGATGTGGAGGTAAGTCTGTACCCATTCCCAGGGCCACATGGAGAAATGACTAAAATGTGTCTTTATTTACAAAAAGAAAAGAAAAAACAACATGCATGAAAAGTCACAAACTTGAAGTCAGTGAACCTGTTTCTGTCACTAACTGCCCAAGTGACCTTGAGCAAGTCACCGAACTCCTCTGGGCTTCATCTGCAAATGGGAGAGGTTGACCAGGTGATCTACAGGGGCCTAGTCAGCTCTAACAATGTCCACCAGAGGGAGAGAAATTGCATCCTTTCTGACCTTCTGACTGGCCTTCAGGTTTCCAATTCCTATTGCACACTACCAACAAAATTATCTTAGGAAATACAGCTGTGTTCTCATTACATCTGCAATACAGCATACAAAACCATCCACAGGTGGGCCACTTGCCTCTTGCCATGTTAATTCACTCATTCACTCTTTTTATTCAAGAAATATTTATATGTATCGCCTACTGTGTCCCCATACGCACACTATCCCAGGCACATGGAAACACTTCCGGGTCCCCTAACACAGCAAGCTTTTTTGTGCTTCTATTGCTTTTGCTTATAATGTTCCCTTTGTTAGGGATGCCCTTACTCCATTTTCCTCTAGAGCAACTCATTTTTATCTCAGCGCACAAGCTGCGTGCTCTCTGAAACCTCCTGGTGAGCTATCATCCTCTCTATGTCCGTAACATTCCATACCAGGGCTAGAGTGCTTAGCACACTGTTATGGAATTACACAAATACATGTGTAACAAGATAATATCTTTTGTTTTAAAGATCTTATTTATTTATTTCTAGAGGGAGGGGAGGGAAGGGAGAAAGAGAGAGAAACATCAAAGTGTGGTTGCCTCTCTCGGGCCCCCTACTGCGGACCTGGCCCACAAACCCAGGCATGTGTCCTGATTGTAAACTGAACAGATGACCCTTTGGTTCACAGGCTGGCACTCAATCCACTGAGCCACACCAGCCAGGGCAGATAATATCCTGATACACTCAGATGTGTACTTTTTTCACTCTGCCATTTCCTTCATCTCTATACTTCCCCACCACTCAGACAGGGGCTTTTTATAGGAGATTCACGGCAAACTTACGAAGCTGATCACCATGAGAGAAAAAGTTTTCCATATTTCAAGAGCCTGAACATTTTAAGTACAAACATTGATATTCATACCATAAATAAAAGATTCTGAAGCAAAGAGATAAAGAGCTAGCCTAGCAAGCTACTCCATCCACCGCCCCACCCCCACCAATAAAGTAGATAAAATTTCCCCACACTAATAAATAGGTGCCAGGTTCCTGCTGCTTTCCCATCCTTAGGCAGAGTTGCCGGTGGAGGGGAGAACCTATGCCCCACGGCCTCTCTGCGCTCTGGAAGGCAGCAGCAGTGCAGAGGTGCTCTGAACTAATGGGATGGTAGCACTCCAAGAGAAAATGAGATGTGCCATATCTGGGCAAGAGAGGGATAAAAGAAGCTCCAAATGCCATGGAGACCTGAATATGGAAGCTCCTGCATCCCCAAGAAGCATTAGAGATGGATGAAAGATAATCAGTGACCCAAAAGAAGTCAGAACAAGGGAAGTGTAAAGTGACCACCACAGCCCTAAAGACCAGGGGCTTTGAGGATGGCTGTTGCCAATCCTGTGGACCTTCCATACGCCCTTCTTACTTTGTATCTCAGGTGGCTCGCACCGTGGCCAATCAATGTTCACTTCGTAAAATAATGTAGCTAGGAAGATGGATCGATAAAGAGTTACCAGGGAACATGGTGCCATTTTTCTTAACTCTCCATATAAACCTCAAGAACCATTAATAATAAAAAAAGCTCTGCAACTCATAGCAACCGAGTAGTCTGGTGGTTGCCAGGCGTGGATGGCAGAAATGGGGAGATGAACAAAGCGTACAGACAAAGAGTTATAAAGTGAATGAGTTCTGGGGATTTGATGGACAGCATAGTGCTGTGTTACATATTTAAAATTTGCTAAGAGAGCTCATCTGAAATGTTCTTACTACAGATAAGAATGTAATGCCGTGAGGGGTTGGAGGTGTTGACTAACTTTATTGTGGTAATCACTTCACAATATATTTTTGTATCAAATCATCACCTTGTACACCTCAAGCTTACACCATGTTATTTGTCAATTATATCTCAAAAAAGCTGGGAAAAACTACTATCACCAAGCTCCCACACACAAAATAACAGTAATAATCAAATAATTCTAACACTAGTGCTCTGATGAAAAAATATTTTAAAAAATGACAGGTGTATAGAATTTAAAATTTGGGGGCTACAAGGTCTGTGAGTACAATCTGAAATGAACAGTAAAGTGTTTTTTAATCATTAATACTTTATTATATTAGTACTTGATATATTAATTTTTCTCCTAAAACTGTACAATAATCAATATATCATAAAAACATGAACAATTTCCTTAGAAATATAAATACCAGGCCAACCTCATAAAGATTTAGCAAATGCTTAATAAATATAGGTACTAGGTCCTTAACGCCATCCTTCCCACCCCACCGCAGCCTGGACAACCCCTCCCACCCCCTTATGTTGTGGGTATATTTTCTGTTTTTATCCACATGGAACAGAGGACCCTTTTACCAACAAAGCTCCCAGGGAGCGGCACTGCATCGCAGCGACTGCGTGCTGGTCATCAGGGCACATATACAGAGCGGCCCAAGGGCGCCTTCATTCTCCTCCAATTGTTTTCAGGGGGTCGGGACATTGTAACTGCTCAGGACTATGTTAGGATTCAGAAGAGCCCCAGAAAGTGAATACTACATCTAATACAGAGCTTTGAGAATTCCATGCAGACCTCATTAAGAGTCCTGTGAAGTGGGGGGAATCGGGGACCACACAGGACTTGTTGCGGAGCGCTGGATGAGGAGTGGCACTTCCAGAGCTGCTTCAGCTCAGCTGATGTGCAGCTCTCAGGTCACGTGCATAGCGGACGATGGGGGTGACGCAGGTGCAGCCAACAGTCACCATCACCTTCTCCAGCCGGAAGGAGTGAGAGCAGCCCTGGGGCTCCCTCCGGAGGACCAGGAACTCTTGCTGGATAGGAACGGAGTTCATGGAGCTGTCTTCCTTCCCCTCGGCATTGATGCAGCCCGAGTGTCTGCACTGGGCCTCTGCAATCTCGGAGGGGAACCGGTGGGGGTCCCAGGTGATGCTGCAGGAGGAGCAGGAAAAGCCAGTGGTAAGACAGGGAGGGGAAGACGGACAAAGGATGAGAGCCCTGCAGCACTGGGCGCTCACATGCAGGGAGGTGGAGCTGAGTAACAGCACAGGCTCCCAACAGACAACCTGGATTTTGGCTCCAACAGGAGCTGAACTCCCTAAGCCTCAGCTTCCTCGGCTACAAAATGGAGATTCTCATATATCCCTCCTAGAACTGTTAAGATCATTCGGTGATACAAATGTATATCCAATGCCATACTGTAAAATGTTGGCATTCAATAAATGTTAGGTCTTAATTTAGTTCATTTTTTCACAATTACAATTATTATTCATCCTTTGCTTAGAGAACAAAATCACCAGTAGGCCTCCCAATATATAGTCTACAAAGTATGCTGCTTGGAAGAGAAAACCAAAGCCTCAGAGGTCTATAAATCGAGGGCCTTCTCTCAATTTCTCCCTCGATAGCCCCCTTTGCCAGGAGGCATAAAGGCAGCTAAGCCAATTCAGCCAACTTGCCACCATACACACTCCCTTCGAGTGGGAAGCAATACAGGCAGCCCAGAAGCATTTCTAATTATCCCTGGAATCTGTTTTTATACTGGTATTGGGAGGACTTACATGAGTGCTTGATATTTCAGGAACCTACACATGAGACAAAGTCACAAGACCGCACCCTGAACACTCCCTCCTTGCATCCCACTTCCCGAAGAGTCTTTCTCCTCCACTCTGTTCTCCACTCCTGGAAGACCATTGTCTAACCTGAGTGGATCTCTCTAAACTGACTTTTCTGGTTCCCACTTATTCCCACGCAGAGGTAATTATGTGAGCTGCTTTAAAGAGAGCTCTCTTCCAACACAGAAAGTTTGTAAAATCCAATCTAGGGCTCCATGAAGCAGAAAAAGGCAGAGTCAATGACAAATTGAAAGCAAAATAGTAAGACTTTCAACCACCCAGTCCAAAACAGCAAGAAAAATGTGAGCTCCCAGGTAAAGTGGTATTTCTGTTTTTATGAGGAAATGTGAGGATTTCCAGTTGTTCTATTTTTTCTAAATTTTCTACTTTCCAACTGGAATAAGTTAGCATATTTTTCAAAAGAATGTGAAGATAGTTTCCTCTGTACTTACTTGTAATCCCAGGGGGAGCTGGAGCGGTTCTGGAAGTCATGTGAGATAGGAGCCACCTGGTTTTGTCTGAGGATGCGAATGTCAACCCTCACACTGTTGTCCTCTGGAGGAGGACAAAGGGCAGTAACCCCTGCGTTGAGGTTTCTCCGAGCTGCCCCCTCCCTCAGGAGAGTGAGCCCCAGCATCAACAGCAGCAGACGCTTGATCTGGAAAATATAGAAGGTTACAGCTGATTAGGGGCTCTGGTGTCACCTGCTGGCAAGAGACATCCGATGATTTGTCTGAATTCAGCATTCCTGATCTGTGATGAGATCATGGCTTCTCTCTGAACCTCAGATCCTCACCTAGAAACTGGAATGGTCATACAGGAAGATATCAGGGTACCAAACTGAGAGCTAAACTCATTAGCCTGGTGGCTGAGCCTCCACAGTGTGAGGGCTCCTAACCAGTGGGACAGAGAGATAACAGGGCCTGGCCTCCTCCTAAGCCTCTGGTTTCTCTTCTTTTTGACCGGATGGTAACTCTTGCTTTATAATAATATTCACAAGATTAAACGAAATGTTCTTTGGAAAGCAACTATAAATCTAACAAAAATAGAGCCTTACTAAATTATAGCTCTTGTTTTTATTATATTTCCCACCTCAAAGCCCATGAATCCTCTGCAGAATCCTTCCTCCCAGTGATTCCATCATCTAGAACACACTGCCCACCTCTCTCTCTCCAAATCCCACCCTTCCATCAAGGCCCTGCTCAGGTGTGGTCTCCCCCAAAAACTGCCTCTGGAGCAGTTCAATTGGAAGTATGTTAATTATCCTTAAATCATGAAGGTTTAACCATCTGCCACTCAAGCATCTTTTCTTTACTGTCTAGAAATGTACTGTTTGTGTCAGATCTCCACCCATTGGATTGTAAGTTCCTGCAGGAGAATGTGTCACAGAACAGGGGTTTCGTAAATACTTTCTGGATGGACGGAAAGCAGATAAGTGAATGAATAAACAAATCAATACAGTTAAATTAACAATATAGTTAATCTCCCACAACCTCCCAAAGAAAAACACTATAGCAAAGTCCCAATTCTCCACGCTAATTGAAAGAAGCAGGGGCACTAATGATGCACAGCAACAGAGACCATGGAAACTATTTCTCTTTAACTCCAGAACATATATATTTTTTATACTTACACTGACATGTTGGTTTATTTGGTTTTACAGGGATGCACAAAGAAAGAAAGTTCTCTGCAAAGACCTAACTAAAATAAAAGAAGAGCTAAAAGTCCCTTCAGCTTCCCATCGTCATGACAGGGCTTTGCTCACCTCACCATCAACACTGACCCTTCCTGGGGATGGACAAGGCCCCTCAGCGACTATTAACATAATGCAGAACAAGAGCCGAAGCTGAGTTGATTTCATTCTCTGGGCTCAGCGTGGCTCAGGCCCACAACTCCCATGAGTTAAGGTAGGTGAGACAATCAGACACATTGGTTAAAGGACCTCCTTTTTCTATTTTGCAGATGCTGCGACAAGAAATGATAAGAGTAAACAAAAAGGTTTTGCTGTCAATGGGCTGTACCAGGTAACTGTTACTAAAAAGAAGTGAAAGTGAGATTGACCCAGATAAACCTGAATGAGGCTGATTGGCCTTCTGATAATCAGCAGTCATCTACTTTCATCTCCCACAATCATATATTCATTCAACAACTTTGTCTCTATAGTGTGCTGATTCAAGACATGAGCTCTGGAATCAGATGTCCTGGGTTCCTAACTCAGTTCCAGGACTCTTACTTGCTGTGACTCAGTTTTCTCCACCAGAAAATGTGAAGATTAAATGGTAAGATCCACATGAAGCATGGAGAGCACAGCCACATGTGGTAAATACTCAGCACGGGTGATGATTATCAAGTCAACACTGTGCTGATGATACACAGCGGAGAGGAAAGATGTCCTCATGTACCTTCTGTCTGGACACAGCACTGTGGAGTTTGAAAAAGTAAAAGGACACCTGCTTACACAGGTGGGTCCTTAAATAGCTTCCCAGGCCTAACAATTCCTTCCTTAGATTTTTTACATAAATTTCTCCTTTGTGTTTTTTCTCTTCTGCATCATGTTCACTAAATTATTGTTATATTTCTTACCAAAGTTTTCAAATAACTGTACCTTGAGGGTATAGGATTTAGCAAAAATTGTCATGGTTCTAATAAGTCATTATTATAGTTGCTTATAGTCTTTGAGTACCGTAGAAACATATTCACATCCCTTTAAATTTTGGATTCTCCCAAGTTGCTCGTGGAGTAGGTAGAGCTGGTAAGGTAATTATTCCAATTAGATAGCTGAAGAACTTGTGTCTCAGAGGCAACAAATAACTCCGTTGGGTTCACCAACCTGCTCACGACAGTCTGGGGACTGAAACCTAGCTCATGGTGGTCAGTGCTAGTGCTCTTGTAGATCTTTATCATTGTTACTAACATACAGCCACTCACGGGTGTTTAATCTTAGCTTTGTCCCACTAGAGGAGCCAAGCATTTTAAGCAACATGACAGCTATGTCAGGAATGCATGGCTGTCGTAGGTCATTCATGCATTCCTTTATCAGGAAATCAGATGATGTCTGCAAATCCCTTCAGTTTGCTCCGCAAAGCTGTGGCTCTGATGGCTGATTTTAGTGGTTAAGCAATACAGAGCAGGGGCTCTGATAAGGCCCTTACTGGTTCTTAAGAGCAATATATGCAACATTTCTTCTCTGAGAGGTTCAGAAATCTTGCTTCTGAACCATTCAAGAATGCTGTACTTGGAGCCATTAAAACTGGATTCATGTCCCAGTTCCTGTATGAATAGTACCCAGGGATGTTAAATCACTTGACTTGAGATGTTGTTCATGTGTTCAATGGGGAAAGTAGTTCCCAAACTATTTCACTGGGTTGGTGAAAGTCTCAGAGGTAAAAACAATAATAATATTTTTAATACTAATATTTAACACTCCTTGAGTGTTTTCTCTATCTTCATTGATTGTTATATTAAAATGACCAAGTTGACTAAAAACTATGCATGCATAGATCTGCTATTTCAGAGTATAGATTTAGTCATTTGCAATGATATCAATTAATCCCCCCTGAAATCCCATAAGGGACATGCCATTATTATTCTCAAAACTGATAAGGGGAATAATAGTGCACAGAGTGGTTAAAAACTTTTGCCAAATCTCACATTTAGTAAGTGATGGAACCAGGTTTTACTCCAAAGCTTATACCCCTAAATGCTGCACTTTATTACATTTCTTGTCATCTCTAAAATAATATGTAGATATAACACAGTATTATCATCACCATATGTCATGACTTTTGTATGAAATCCAAGCTCTTTTAGTTGCATGGCTTATTAACAAGGGGAAAAAAAAGAGAGATTATTTAAGGCAATGCCCTGTTTTCATGCTCTTCTATATTAAAAATCCTCTCCAGGTCTTACCTGACTACTGCCAGGCAAGATTCCAGACCCAGAGGAGGTAGATTTCCATCACACTAACATCTCTCTCTCTCCTCAGAGGAGTGAGAGAATGCAAAAGTAATCAGTTATCAGAGACAAGGCAAATTTCCGTCCCCTAGAAGCTGTCCAAAGTTCACTGTGGCATGGTTTCACTTCCTCCACAGGGCACTCCTTCTCTACCTGTAGTCTTGTAAAAATCATTAAACCTCTTTCGGCCCTGACTTCCTTCTCACACACACACACACACATACACACACACACACACACCCCCATCTTACAGTGATACAGAAGAGATAGATAGACAGATAGATACATAGATACATAGATAATAGATAGATATCTTCAAGGGAGTATTTTCTATATCACCATAGGAGATATATATGTATGTGTGTATACACACACACACACACACACGCACGCATGCACACACATATCCTAATAAACTGGCTAAGCTCCCACATGAGATTAGAGTTTTAAGCCTGTACAACTCTACAATGATAGCCACAAGAGAGATAATATGGTTTGTGACACCAACTATGCCAAAGCCACCAGGTGAAGAGCTGTTTTACACCCCACTATAACTTCTGACTATATTTTCTTTTTCTCCACCAGACAGGGATCAAAATTTAAGTCAGTTCTGTTTTGAAAAGAAATACCCCTAATCAAGCCTAATTCCTTAGAAATCTGCTTTTCTGGAATCCTGGGGAGTGACTATACCTAAACAGAAATTGTTATTACTACTCACCACAGCAATGTTACACAGGATGGTCATTGTCGTGTTGCTCTGGTTGCCCGCTTCGTGCAGTCAGCTCTTTCTTTTCGTGTCCTGTGTGTGCCTGTGTTGTGTCAATGAGAATACCTGTTGGTTTTATAGCAATCACTGTCCTTGTTCCGATTGACCTGCTTACTGTCATAAGATGTGGTTGCCCTGAAGTGACTGACGAATGTAGGTTTTTTCTATTCCACTTCCTGAAGGGGAATCAAAGGGGGACCCTAAAAAGAGATGACGGAAAAAGGATCAGACATTTCTTTTCTTCTGCCCCCACTTCCACCCCCATTGCCCTGAAATTACAGCAAAATTCTTAACTAATTTTCTACAGAGACTAACCAAGTTAAAAATTGCTGTCATGCTATTTTATGGTCTTCCACAAATGGTTAAGACCTCTTGACATGCACCGTATGTTCTACTTTCTAGTCATGCAATATGAACCATGATTTAAGTGGGAAATATGTCATCCTTAGAAGAGTCTTGGTATTAGATGGCAGGCCTCCCTCTAGCTCCAATTTAAGAATGGAAAAACAAAACCAAAGAAATGAATGATGTCAGTGAGAAATTCTGAAATTACATCCCCAGGTAGCTTTGTGGTAACCTGAACTAATTTGATTTTAACCCCATGGTTAGACTATTACTGATGCTTAATAAATAATCATTATTCATACAACATATAAATGACCACTATCTTGGCTATCTCTGATTGAGGATGATTTTTTTAACCTAAATGGATAAGCAAGTAGATCCTTTAAATGCTCTGATGCATTATTTTAAATAACCTGCGAAAAGCAAAAATTTAATTTGTCTCATTTAAATGTAGGTCAACAAATATTTATTAAGCACATGCTATGTGTTAGGCATTGTACTTCAGTAATACACAGACATTTTGAAATAACAGTAACTTACTTTTTTTATCTCCATTAAGATTAGGTAAAATTATACATGCTTGTTTAAAAAGGCAGGGTACATTTTATCAGAGCAAAGTTATTTTCACCTATCACATGTGTGAAAAATTTCCTCCATTTTTTTTAACTGAGGTAATGAAGAAACAGCTCTTGAGTTCATTGGAAGACCATCAAAATTTGATCAAAATTCTTCTGTGATCATGTGCCTTTCATCCACATTTCTGCTCTCCATGACCATGGATTCTTCTCTGCCTCTCTCCTCTGAAACAATCAAGAGTTTAACTCCTATTTTAAAAACTCTCTTGAATTATTCTCCCAAAAATCATACCCTTTCTCTTTACCTCTCTGCACATAATTAGTTACCCCAAGGCCATGAACACACCAGAGACTCACACTTGCTTATATGTTTTAGGGTGAGTCTCCGGTGTGTTCATGGCCTTGGGGTAGCTTTAGCTCCCCCCAGTAATCTCTACCAGTCTCTTTTGCTCAATGTGCATCCCCAAATATACACTCTAAATAAAAACAGTGTATGTTTTATGCATACACAGATTCAAGACAAGTCTCCTAGCCAACCCCTTCTAGCTACACTGAAGCCCTTAAGCCCATTTTATAGAGAATTTTTAAGACTTCACCAAATATATCCTTCCATATATTCAGTAACATTAACACCATGAAAAGAGGAGCCATGTTTTCATGTATCACTCATGCTACCAAAGTAATAAATACAATAGATCCTTAAAAATATATTAAACTGACTGGTTGAGTCACTCACTGTCTTCAGGGGTCTCTTATCCATCCAGAGCTATACCTCAATGCATTCATTGAAGGCTACACCAGCTCTCTTGAAAGAAGGAACAAATAAATCCCCTTGAATTAAAAGTGCCTAATGTAATACAAGAGGATTTTCTGGATTGCTGGAGAGAATTAAATAGCCTTTTGTGTAAGAAAGAAGCAAACATTGATGTTTTACATCCTGTAGTCACAGCGTTTTCCCCCATCAAGGTAAAAACAACTAACTTAGGATGTCAAACTAGTGATCAGCTTTCACCAAGTTTGAAGTGAATCAATGGATTCAGATCATTATTTCACCTGTAGTGTAAATCATGTGCTAATACTGGGACACAATAATGAGTATATAATGGACACATAGCTGACTGTGTTGGAAGCCCCTCACCAACTGGCCCTGTACCAGCCATGACCCACAGCTTTAAGAGTTTCCATAAAGCAAGTGGAGCCACCATGTAACACAGCAACAGCTAGGACACTCAACACACAATTCAAGGGCCAACAGAGAGAGAAAGCTGAGACTCTAGTTCCAAAACTGAGTTACATACAGCCTCACGTGAGGTACAACATTGTAACTGGTCCATCATCCATGTTAGCAATATTTTTTTTAATGCCCAACTACAAGTTTGTTCAGGCTATTACAGGTAATAGAGTGTACTATTTTAGCCTCTACATTAATTCATTTAAAATCTTATTAAGGAAAGAAAGCAAGCATCCATATATCAACCAAGAACATAATGACATGAGATTGTTGGAGATGTATATAGTTAAATGTACACATTTAGTTTTATTTATTTATTATTTATTTATATCTCCTCAGGGAAACATAGCACTATCGAGTATCTATTACATCCTATGGAGAACTTTAATTAGATTAGGTCACAGCATTAAGAGCTCCTGGTTTTTGTCCCATAAGATCTCTTTGAAATGACCTATAAATTAATATGTTATCTAATGTGTGCATACCTTTTAAAATAATTTTTGCTCAATCTAGTTGTCATGTCAGTCATTCCTATATAACAGGAATGGAGATGATCATGTGATCATAAAGTATCTGGTCACTAGCAACCTACAAGAATTAGCTAGACAAAGGACATCTGCAAGACTCCAGTGATCAAAGACAGCTATTGTAAAATCTCACTGTGAGGCAGACTCTTTGGGTCCCTGTTTGGGCACCAGCTGAAGGAGGGAGCAGGACTCTGAGTCTTGCAGAGCCCATCCTGAGGTCATCATGAATAGGGGGAAATAAAATGAGTTGTACCAGACACTTCTCAGTCTTATAGGAGGGGAGATGGCACTTTCCTCTAGTGGAGAAGATCCCAAGCCCTTCTCTTGAAGTGGGTTTTATTGAGAACCATATGAGCACGGGTATGGATGCAAAGCTCATCAATCAATGTCAAAAGGCTATATTTACAGAAAACAAATAGAGATCATAGGTAACAATTGAAGGAACACAAGAGATTTGCCTCAGGTCTGGGTCTGTGAATAATGTAAATTTCCTTCCCAGCATGAGCCAGTTATAGCATGGAACTTACTTCTAGGCCTGATTTCTCCCAGAAAACCACCAGATCCAATTTAGGGCTGTACCTGCCTTTAGTATTGTCTCAAGCCTGAGCCAGGTGGGTGGAGCAGAGCAGCCAAGAGATAAGGAGACTTCTTTCAGATAGAATGAGGAATCCAGCCATATCAAAGCCGAGGGGTGAGGGTCTTTTTCCCCTTCTCTGTGTCCCCCATGTCCTTCCCATGATGTCCCCTATGCAGCTGTGCCTGTCTTAGGTTGCCCCTGCCATCAAGGGATCTAACCCCTCATTGACTAACCAGCCATCCTCCGGGGCCAAGCAGGGTGATGTGAAGAAGGCAGGGGTTGCACCCCTGCCAGGAGGACACGTTTTGTCTCCTCAGTGGCCTATTTTTCCAAGTTGTCCTTGTTTAGCTCCCGCGTTGGGGCCCTGTTGCCTGTCGGTGGGGCTACAGCTCCTGAAACCAGACAGGGCATTTCCCAACATCACTGATTACAAATAGCTAATATAAAATCACACATAGCGTGTGTTATATTTATATTGAACAGTGCTTATCTAGGCAATGAACATAAGGGTTAATAAAATGTTCCCAATATGTTGAATGCTAACAATGTAGCAGAAAGGAAACCTAGTGGTTAAACACGTTGACTTTTAAATAACCAACATTCAGAAGTTTGTATGAGCAGGGAAAGTTGGGTAAAAAATGTGAAGAGATTAAGAAGTACTAATAGATAATTACAAAATAGTCAAGGGTATAAAGTACAGTATAGATAATATAGCCAATAATATTGTAATGACTATGCATGGTACCATGTGGGTACTGGGAATATCAAGTTGATCACTTTGTAAAGTATATGATTGTCTACCACTGTGCTGTACACCTGAAACTAATACAAAATAATACTGAATGTAAACTAAATTTAAAAATAATTTTTAATAACTTTTATGTTCACTCAAAAAAAGGCAAATCTAATCAAGATATGTTGCCCTAACCTAACCCTATATATGTAGATAAAGAAACTAATGCTTAGAAGTGAGGTGGCCCCATAGCAAAAGGCAAAAATAGTGGCTCTTTCACAGAGGTCAAGTGTCAGGCTGTGATGACAATGAGATTTTAGGCTAGATAAATGACACCGCACCCTATGCAATGGCAAAACATTTGGCAGAATTATTGCCTGTGATAACTGAAGAGGCAGTTATACCTAGAAGCACGAAAGTTCTAGAGAAAGATACTAGAAAACAGAATACTAGTTTTGTGTGTTGGATGCTATCATCTGCATTTGGCAAGGTAATACAAGAAATGGATGAGTTCAGGAAAGAGTTGGCAGGTTTGCAGACAAATATGAGAGAATGAAGGGAGTCCAGAAATTAAGAGTCTTTCAAGATTAAAACAATAATTTCTATCCTCCCAAAACAAGAGATAAGATTGAAAATGTCTTTGAGGGAGAAATGTACAGTAAAACTTTTCAACCAAATAAATTTCCTATGGCCAAGAATCAACATGAAGCATCTGATACATCCTTTTAATTGAATAAAAGAACTCAGAATAGAGTGTAAGGATATTGTTCTAGTGAATTACCACAAAATCGAGACAGAGAGGAATGCAAAGCAAAGAAATAGAGATATTCTGGGAATTATGCCACAAAAAGAACCAATTTAGATAAGAAGTTTACTAAATTTTGAGAGAGCTCTTGAAATTGATTGTGAACCAACCCCAAACTTCTAGGCACAAAGGAAGGCATACTTGCCCACAGTATTACAGATGTGGCAAAGATATTATTGGGGCAAAATTACCTCCCAGAGGTTGGAGCCAGAGATCACAAAATGTCCCTGAGAGTTGGGCCCCTCTTGAAGAGTAGAATCTAGGTCTGATTCAAGAATTTTCCACATGCTCTGGCTATAGGATCCCTACAACGTCAGCCAAGCAGGATTCAGGGTTGCCACAGGTCAAAAATGTGCATCTCCCATTCTTTCTTTCCCAAATGGAAGTATTTAGTACTATTTTCCAGCTCTATTCTATCCATTGAGACCTTATGTGATGAACTACAGTATATCATTTAGAAATCCTAGACTTTGAGCTACATACTCTGAGAGGATAGAAGTTTTGGCTGCTCTCCCTTAGGGAGAGGGTGAAAATATTATGTATATGCAAGAAGAGTGAACCAAGTATCTGGTGAATAGAAGGGTGGACTATGATAGACACAGTGATCCCCAAAACACTATTCTTCTCTACTTCCAGGAACCTGGAACATTACATTTCTTAGCCTCTCTGCTGCGTGACTTGCCTTGACCAAACAGAAGTGAAGTGTTTCACTTCTAAGCAGAAAAATCTAAAATACACTTGTCACTCTCCATGACCGCTCCTCCCCTGACTCGGGAATTATGGTAACATGTGGGGAAATGGAGACACAGTCAAGGGTCTGGATCTCTGAGTGAGTACCATGAGCTGAGCCTCCCTGTTCATCTACATTGGACATGTAAGCATGTTCAAGAAACAAGCCTTAGTTCTTATAAACCCGTGCAATTTAGAGACTGTTACGCAACAGTTCCTAGTCTAAACAGACTGATAGAGACATTAAATTATTTTACAGGCTTCTCTGTTTGTTTTTACTTTTTGTCAGAGCTCTGACTCCTCATTAATAGCCAGTTAAACAATGTTATCCTATATTTGGTTTGAAAGATATTTAGAAAGAATTAAATGCAAAAAATAAACTAGGACTATTATTCACTATTTTATTCACTAAACAAAAGCTATTCGTATATACTTTATTTTAATCCCAGTGTTATCTCCAAATAATATTAAAACACTTCTAATTTCCCTGGACATTTAGTTGCAAACAAATATGAGAGAATGAAGGGAGTCCAGAAATTAAGAGCCTTGCAAGATTAAAACAATAATTTCTATCCCCCCAAAACAAAAGATAAGATTGAAAATGTCTTTGAGGGAGAAATATACAGTAAAACTTTTCAACCAAATAAATTTCCTATGGCCAAGAATCTGACCTTAAGGCCAGACCCTTCTGAATAAGGGTTAAGAACATTGAGCCAGAATGGCCTCAAAGCATGAAGGCTGGTTTTATTCCCAACCTTCAAGCCCCTTGCAGTTCTCTCCCCTCTCAAGCACAGATATTCTGTCTCTGCTTAGGCTATTCAAACCTATTAAATACATAATCTATCTGCCTTTTTAGTCCCTAGATCATTTAGAAAGTCCACGTCCCATTCCCTTTCAAAGCCCCACCTCTCTGTCCCCTATTGAAGAAATTTTTTAAAAACATGGAAGCATGATAGCATCTATCACCACAAACCTACAGACCCCCACAAACTCCACATCATCCATACCCCTCAGCTCCTTTAATGAAAAGGATTATTTCCAGGTTAAGAATCCTTTGTGCCTGTTCATTTAGTTTTACTTATTTGAGTCAAATATTCAAACCCATTATGTACTTATTAGAATCTCCATAAAAATCACACTTCATAGCAATTACCTTTTTATAAAGATCAACATATTTTCATGAGAAAAGATTTTTCAAGCCCTGAATGGTGTGGCTCAGTGAGTTGGGCATCATCCTGCAAACCGAAAAGTCACTGGTTCAATTTCAGTCGGGACACATGCCTGGGGTGTGGGCCAGGTCCCCCAGCGGGGGCGTTCAAGAGGTAACTGATTGATGTTTCTCTCACACATCGATGTTTCCCTCTCTTTCTCCCTCCCGTCCCCTCTCTTTAAAATAAGTAAATAAAATCTTTTTTTAAAAAAGTTTTTCAAGAACAGAACAACATTATTTTTGGTTTAAAAATTAAAAAGAGATCATTATAATGATTGTCAGATGAAAATACTGTACCAGGGTCTTCCTGTACTGATGTTTGTGGGATTAGGAGTTATTTGGGGCTTAGGTCAACACAGGATAAAAGATACAGAAGTCCTTTCCTTTCTCCATCTATAACTGTCACCCAGTCTTTCTCTGTGTGTGTGTGCACATGCATGCACATGTTTGTCTCAGAGTATAATGCCTGATGAAAAAAAAAACAATAACCTATGAAAAGAGTCACAGGGGAGAAAGATGAAGGAAGGGGATGAGGCAAGAGCTGAAAAAGAGGAAAAGTAAGGGGTGAGGGGAAGACTTAAGAAAAGAGTTTCCCCAGAGTAGTGTGTTGCTAATCTGGGATGCAATAGGGCTGAGGTCACTGGAGAAAGTTCCAGATCAAATGGGGGAACCCCTCAACTCTGAAACTATTCTATGGACCTGTGGAGGCTTTTGCAGCAGAGTTTTATCTTTGCTAACCAAGATACAATTTATTGAATTCCCTTGCTGAACCAGTCACTGTGTAGGTATTTAACATGAGTAAGAAGAAGAAAAATAAAAGTACTACCTAAAAAAGGAGCAGAAAATAACCACAAGTTTCCTTTACCCAGGAG